CTAAATTTTGAAAAATAAATGGAATCCTAACTTGAAAACAATAAGTAAACTCCTACCCTAATTAATGGAATTAGAAAACCTACATATATTGTAAATCAATATGTCACGAAATATTTCTCTTTCATCTCATCTATTAACCCTCTAAGTTCGACGGTCGAGGATGCGACGAGCAGCAGACTACGACGAATTTGTTTAACTTACCGTTCCACATACGTACCCACACACACGCGCGTGCGCGCACACGCACACGCACACGCACATGCACACGCACACGCACACACACACACACATACACATACACATATACATATTTTAGTACAGGGCTACCCATCCCAAAGTATAATTAAATGTAATGAAGGAGCCATGCATTAAATGGTAAATATATATATTTTTTTTCATTTGAAAAATTCTCCATTTCAGTTATTTCTGAGAGGAAAAAATATGGTTATATTTTGTATTGTTATATTTTAGTATTGTTATATTTTAGCTACAAAATAGTTTTTTTTATCCACAAGTTAGCTTTATATCTTGTATAAATAACTCGAATATTGAATATGAAATGAATAAAAATCACATGGGGACACTAAAGAGTACTCAGGCACACAGACACACCCACACGTATATATGTATGTTAACAACAGACATGGTGATAATTAAATCCCAGTTCATTATTTTTCACTGGTTTATAGAATACAGGGAGCAAACTTTGATTTTTACGTACTTCAATTCTCGTCTTGTTTAAAATTTTTCTTTTAACGTGTATATATCACATGTATATAACATTTACTTGTTGTCAAGCAAGATTCAACATTGCCATTTCGTATAAAAGAGCTGTTGGACATTTGTGATGTGACAGCTAGTGACCATTCGATGTTTAACATAAGGTCCTAGTCTATCGGGAAGCGATTTTACAAACTGTATATCATAAGACCGAAGAGATGTCAGGTGTTGCTAGCCGCTTATTCAAATGTTTTATCTACTCACATGTAATTCAATAAATTCAGGATGAAGTGCCAATATTTCCTTTAATATATTATGATAATGCATATACCGAAGAGAGTAAGTGTTATTACGAAGAAACGATGGAAGTATAAAGATGACCACTATTGTTGAGATTTTATGGTCATATGTCGGAGTCTCCAAGGAAACTTCGATCCTCAATTACTTTGTCGTATTTATTTCCATACCAAAATGATGCGTGTGATCAAAGTTAGGAGCCTACAGAGTCTTCGCGTATTTCTTTTTTTCAGTTTAGCTTTATATTTCCTGTTCATCACCTTTTTAATTCCCATTCTCAGATACCTGTAGTTATGTTGGTGCGCTATTCACACAAATCAGTAGCGAGGAAACTTACAAAAGCAACTCCATGCCGATACTTTTATCCTACAATCACCACCTTGGAAATTTTTTGAAACTTTTTGAAACTTTTTTGAAAGCAAGGGATGAGGGCATCGATTAAAGAGCCATAATATATATATATATATATATATATATATATATATATATATATATATATATATATATATATATATATGTTTTGCGCAACGTTTGAAACTTCATATTCATGCATAAATAGATAAAAAACAAGGTAGTTCTAGTGATCGATGTATGTGAAAAAGGATATACAATAAACATGATTATGCCTACCATAATTATGCCTATCAAATAAAGTCTTCACCTTTTCAGTGCATCGCTTAACTTAATAAGGAAGAATGATAATCTTAGTCTACACTCCATGAGGACTTAAGATATTGCATTTGAGGTATCTCGATAGGCCTATGATTCCCTATGGCATACAACAACCCTACAACTATATTCTACATTCTAAGTTTGTATGTGTGACCACAGCATATTACAAAGTAGCCACAATTTTCTCTTTTATTTGTAATAACATTTATTTCTATGCTGTATGGTTTTCATGTGTTATAATTGCATCCTCTACAGATTGAGCTTATTTGATTACGACATATTTCTGTGAAAAATACACGGCTAGTGACACTTGGCATCTATACGCTCTTTTTGGTCTATAGATTGGTCTTTTTCTTTTAACTTTACCTTACCTTACCATCGGGCATTTCAGCCTCCGGTCTTGAGCAGTGGTAACGTGTACTCTCACCCTAGGGGTCGGCGGTTAAGGTTCAGCTTCGCATATCAATTTCATATTTTAAAAGTCGCTGTATAGTCGGCATCTCTTGGGGACAATTTAAGGACAGTCCTTATGCGTACGGGATACCTCCATCAATGTCTTAAACTCATAAACAAAAGTCTGGAAAACCATCGTTAAAATGCAGACTCAAAGAACTTACATAACAGAAACAAATCCCAAAGTACGACCTTCGAACATATATATAATATATATATGTATACACACACACATATATATATACACGCACATATATGCACACACACACGAACACGGCAGTATATATAAATATAAATGTGAAGATGTATGGTTGTATATATGTTAATATATACAGACATACATATATATGTGTATTTATATATGTATATTTTATATATCATGAAGACAATACACACACACATACACATATATACTCTTTGGTTTGAGTATAAACTGGATCCGGTCGTGGGGTTCTGGTCCTGAGGAATATGGAGCCAGCTCTTGGCCACTTTTGCTCCCAGGTCCACTTCGACCCAGTGTGGAGAACCTGTCAGGGTACCATCTGTGAGATAGATAGACCCTTCGATAGACAGTGTCCCAATAAAAACACTGCCAGGAAAGGCAACGGGAAACCACTCTTACTGCTCTTTTTCTTGTATTCATGGCAGA